CGTCCACGAATGACTTCGACCACGAGTGGCATCAATAATGGAAGGGCAACCGCCACCCTGCACCTTCACCACCACAACCGCCACCACGACGACGACGACGACGACTACTACTACCACCACCACTACTACTACTGCTACTAGTGCTGCTACTACTACTACTACTACTACTGCTATTGCTACTGCTACTGCTACTGCTACTGCTACTATTACTACTACTACTGCTACTACTACCACGACTATTCCTATCATGTTCCTTATCATCCTGAGCACCGAGTCTTTTCTGCTCGGCCAGGCTGCATCAGCTGCCCCGTTGACCAGCGTGCCTGGAGCTTGCATCCAACCTGTTGCACTGCCAGCTCCGCTTGTAGTAGCCGCACAATCAAGTCGTCATCGTCGTCGTAGCCGTATTACATAGTCGTAGTAGTAGCCGCAGCAGCAGCAGTAGCAGTAGCAGTAGTAGTCGTCGTCGTTAGTAGTAGTAGCAGGAGTAGAAGCACCTACTGCTGCTGCTGCTGCTGCTGCGCTGCTAGTACTTCTTCTACAACTACTGCTACTGCTACTGCTGTAATTACTACTACTACTACTACTACCACTACTACTACTACTACTACTACTACTCCTACTACTACTACTACTACTACTACTACTACTACTACTACGACGAGTACTGCTACTACTACTACTACTACTACTACTGCTACTGCTACTACTACTACTACTACTACTACTACTACTGCTACTGCTACTACTACTACTACCACGACGACGACGACTACAACTACTACTATTACTACTACAACAACAACTACTACTACTACTACTACTACTACTACTGCTACTACTCCTATTACTACTGCTGCTGCTGCTGCTACCACTAGGACTACGGCTACTACTGCTACTACTACTACTACTACTACTACTACTCAGGGCAGTAGTAGGAATGGGAGTAGGAGTAGTAATCGGAGTTGGTGTAGGAGTCGTAGCAGCAATAGTTGCAGCAGCGGCAGCAGCAACAGTAGCCGCAGCCGTAGCCGTAGCGGTAGCAGTAGCCTCAGTGGTGCCACCACTATGAGAAGCATGAGCAGCAGCAGTAACAATAGTATTCGGCCATGTGCAAGTCTGTCTTTTGGCTCTGCCCTGTGTCAACCTCTGCGTCCCTTTCTGATTCTGTCTCTCTCTCTCTCTCTATCTCTCCTCCTCGTCCTCTCCCTCTCCCACCCTCTCGCTCTCTCTCTCTCTCTCTGTCTCTCTCTCTCTCTCTCTGTCTCTCTCTCTCTCCTCTCGCATTGTCTCTCTCCCTCCCTCTATCTCTCTCTCTCTCTCTGTCTCTGCGTGTCTCTGTCTCTTTCTCTCAATCCCTGTAGCGCTCACTGACCCGCCGGTGGGTTTCAGGGCGACCAGCAGGGCCCATGCACCGAGGCCACAACCAACACAAGAAGGCATGCTAACACGCTTCCTCCACACCTACTTCCCGGGCGAGGCACGCAGATGCACGCAATGCTCAGGTCCGTGGACAAAGGATTTCCCCGTCAAAGCAAGAATCAGGATCATGCAAATCCGCACAACTTGCAGCTGCCGTCTCTGCCGTGTCTAAGCTTGCAGTGCTTGCAGGTCCGCTTTCTAGGCTGTCACTCGGCTTGGCAACTGCAAATCCCCAGCCAGGCCCAGGAAGGAGCGGAAGGCCACAAGGCAACCGGGCTAAACCAGCTGCTGCAGACCGCGCATTTTCTGCTTGTGATGCCTGTGGAGGCAGTACCTGCTCGAAGCATGGCTGGGTGACAAACGTGTCGGGCTGTTCAGTTTAGAGGGTTGCTCATGTTCCATAGATTGTGGCTTCTTGGGAACTGGCCAGCTTTAGGACAATCCAACGAGGCGTTGGAAAAACACAAGACACCTTCAGATCACCTTCAGACAGAGCAGACTCTCGCCAAACGCATTCCATACAATCCAGGATACTCTCCCAAGAAAAAACCGAACAAACATTCAGCAAATCTACAGCATTCTGCACAAAATGAGGACAGCGCAGCTGGGCAAGTGCCAGAACGTCTGACCCTGAGCAGTGTTTACTTGAAACCTCTGAGCGACCGCCAGGACGGCTTCAACAGCCTGGATGTGGAAGTGGCAGACCCAGATGGCACGGGGTGGAATCAAGCCGCGACCGTGAAACCCAGATCCGTTGCGATAGCTTTAACATGCCTGTGCTGGATGTCTTTCCCGAGGAGGAGGACATTAGCGAGCTTGTCAAGGCTGCTGCCTCAGTAGCAGGAGGTGAGTTTCTGTTGTCAGACTCTGACGGCTTATGACATGCATGCCCTATCCTCTTGCATGCAAGGTTCTAGTTACTGGCTGTCTGGGCCTCAGTGGCTACTGTCACCATTGTCACCCCGTCAGCCAACAGTGATCTGGGGCACAAACTGATTCATCGGAGTTGCTGACATCCAATGCTGTACCTTCCCTGCATACCTCTCCGATGTACTGTGCTTATGCACCTACGGTCCAATGCATGCTGATCATAGGCCAGTGTAATGCCACGCACTGTCATGGGGTGCGCGGCCATGGCGTGTCAATGCATTGCAACTGCTCCGCTAGGAAACAGTTCGAAATATGGTTACCACCTTCACTGTAGGGCAGGATTCGCAGTCGTGAGTCAAGAGTCAAGGCTGCCTTGTCTCGATGAACACGCCGCCGCCAGTTTAAACTTCAAAACCAAATGGCAAGACAACCTGAAACAGCAGATGCGTACGATCATCGGTTCCTCGTGTAAGAGGCTCTGCGCTGCAGCAACGTCCCCCGGCCGGCAGCAGCAGTAGCAGCGGCCAACGCCTCAGTATGCGTCCATAAGAATGCATCTGCATAGATATAACTGCAGAATCTATAGTGCAAATCGAGGAATATCGTGGCAACAGTTGGGGGAGGTTTTGGATGAAATTGGAGTCATAATTTGGCTGCATCGGGCACCTGTCGTGGCCGCCCGTCGCGGCCGTCGAAAATCACGTTAACACGCATCTCGCACTCGTTCGGAGCCGTTGGGATTGGAGACCTAAGAAACAGTCGGAACACGTCGGGGAATGGTCGGACACATCGAGGACCTGTCGGAGACCTGTCCGGCACCCTGGACCCGCAAACGCTTAAACCGCAACCCAGAATGCTTCAGACTTGGGTCCTGCACGGGTTCCGATGCCTGCATGTGGTTATGCCATGTCATGCCATTGAGCCATCAATTTGTAATGTACTCGTAGTTTATTTCAGAATCACCCGGGCAAGCCGATTTCGGATCCGAATGAGCGCACCAGATTTACCCCACGAGTAGAAGGAAATTGACCGCATGTTCATGTCTGTCTGTATGTATATATATATATATGTTCGTATGTATGCATATATATATATACATATGTATACGCATGTGGTACCCCTCCGCGGAACGCACCCCCTTAGTCTGCGTATGTCTAGTATGTCGGTATATTCCTAACCTGCACACTTATCTCGTATCTGTGTACATGTACAATGCACAGGCCTTTACGAATGTGCGTGGTGACCTACTTGAATCTGCGCACGCTGCAGAAGACGGGCATACAGCCGGAACCAGCGCGCACAATCAATGAAACAAGAAGAATCGATAATCAACCCTTCTTGTCGAGACAGTACCAAGAAAACGAAAATACCAAAACTCATAGGCCAAAACATGAGCATATTCCTCGAGACAGTCCCCAAAAAACAATAAACACAAAGATTCCAATAGCTGTCTCGAGAAATGGCCTTTGGAACAGCTCTCAATCTGTGTTTTTTGTTTTTTTTGGACCGTATCGAGGAATATATCTGCCCATTTCATGACCTATGGGCTTTGGTATTTGG